TTTGTTTTGTGTTGTTTTTTTTTTTGGGGGGGGGAGAGGGAGAAGGCAGAAAGGTTGAGAGGGAGAGGGGGAGCGGAGAGAGAGAAGAAGGAAGAGCGGAGAGGGGAGAGAGGCCGAGGGAGAGAGGGCAAGAAGGAGAAGGAGGGGGGAAAGAGGGAGAGGAAGAGGGAGAGGGGGAGAGGAGGAGAGGGGGAGGGGGAAAGAGAGGGCGAGGGAGGGAGAGAGAGAATCAGAGAGCAGCGAAAAGCTGATTAGATGGAATCGGGGGAGAAGATGCAGGGCAACGTAAGTGTGCCACCTGTCAGCAGAGAATGGAGCGACAAAGACAGGGAGGAAGAACAGAGGGAGAGAGGGAGAGAGAACGAGAGAGAGCGAGAGGAGAGGAGAGCAGAGAATAGAAGAGAAGAAAAGAAAGAAGGCGTTACTTTTTTTTTCCTTTTTTTCCACATCACTATCATCGATTTTCTATCCCTATATTTTCTTTTTTTCAATTAATCCACACCTAAATCTCATGTGAAAACAAAGAAGGCGAAGATCCGTCGACAGAGGACAGAAGAGGGTGAAAGAGCATTCATTCTGAACGCAGACTGACCGAATTTTGTGCGCATCGGGACGTATTACTGATCCAAATACATTCAGAATAAGTGGCATTTGCCGAGTGGTGCGGCAAGGCCCTGAAAGGCATAATGTTTTTGGGTTTTTTTTTTTTTCAATCCCAGGGAGAAAAAGGACGGATTCGCGGCGAGATATTTTATTTTTTGGGTATTTTTATTTTTTATATTTTTCAAAGGCGGAGGATAAAAGCGAGGGACGAGAAAGGAGAGGGAGACGGATCGAGACCTGTCTCTCTGCCTCGACAGCGACTGAGGCACATTTTTTTACGGTTTTACTTTTTTTTGAAATTCCATGGAGGAAAAAAAGCACGGGTTCGCGTCCAGATATTTTTCCTTTTTTCTTTTTTGAACGCAAGGAGAAGAGCGAGGGCGGAGAAAGGAGAAGGAGGTGCGATTTTTTCGGGGTTGAACTTTTTTCGGAAATTCCAGGGAGAAGATGAACGGATCTGAGACGATTTTTTCTTTCTTTTTTTTAAGGCAAAGAATAAAAGCGAGGGATGAGAACGCGGAGGGAGAGACATCGAGACCCGTATCTCTTCCTCGAGTACTCGTAGCCTTCGCGCGCAGATTAATTAAAAAAAAAAAAAAAAGATGAGGGAAAAAAAAAAAAAACAGTTGGGATACGGATGAGGAAA